TTTTCATGGTGAGGGATATTGTCGTCATATCTGCCAGGGTAAGAGAAGTCATATCAAAAGTTCCCACCTCAGCTCTCCACTCTTTCCATKAAAGGTTTATTTCCTGTTTTCCTTTGGCTCTCAGAATCTTTTGCTGACCAGGTGAATCTACACCTGCCTGCAGCTGCTCTGGGGGAGTTTCTATACAGCAAAATCAATRTCCTCTCCTTRTTCTTGGACATCTTTTWTTTCCWGCTCAGATTCTGGACCCTGACCTGKRTTCAAACAAAAGCTTCATAGGGCCAACCTGCATGGCTGAATGGGGAAAAACCTCTGAAACCCCGAGTTTGGAAGAGCTCAGACCCAGGAATTTGAATTATCAGGATGCTGAGCCGTAGGATTTGGTTTTGAACATTTTGCTGTTACTTTATCTATTCTCAATCACTCTCCAAAACCAAACCAGTATCATTTGCTGCCAAAAATATTTGGGATCAGTGAACCATCAGGTGGCAATGACTGACAAAGCAAGTTTGGAAGTGCATGGAATTATGCTTCCAAGTGCCATGGAAGGAGCTGATGACTGGGATGCCCCAGGAGGCTTTCCTGAGTCTTTGCAAGCTGCACACGTGGCAGGAACCGGGGGAGTGGAGGGCAGGAGTCGGGAAACTCTTGGGAAAGTGTCATAAATACCTCTCGGTATTCCCTGAGATAGCAGAGCCCGGACATGCACTGCTGGCTGCAATCACCAGCCTCTGTGAGAAATTGTTTGTCTCGCTCTTTGCATTAGGTAAATGCCCAACCCAAATTCACTGATAACAGCAGACACCAAAAAAAAAAAAAAGAAAGAAAAAATAACCCAGGGACAAGGTCTCCTTGGGCCCCCAATCAGCAACAAAAAAAGGCAGCAACCAGACAGCCATTTAGTGAACATCTCAAAGCTATCTCCCGTCTGCTGGAGGGGCTTTAAAGGCATCAGATTTGTGTGTTTGGCTCAAGCCAAGTGAATTGTAGTCTAAAGCTTTTCCTTGAATTCAAGGCTGTGTTTACTGCAGTCAGGGCGAGGGGAAGGAGGCAACCCCAAAGCCCTCCCTCCTCCTCTTCCCCCACCCTGCAAGCCCCAGGCTTGAAACTTGATTTAAAAAAAAAATACAAGATTGAATTTCAGTTTGCAGGATTAGGGAGATGACTTTTAGGGGCTGCTTGTTGGAAAAAAAGGAAAGCAAAGCAGCTGGGAGGGATTAGGCTGAGCTGGCGTCTGCACTTTCAACTGATTCAATTTTGCTCCACAAGACATTGTATCTGAGCCTTTCTGGAGACTATTCAAAGCAAATCATTTTCATTTTACCATTTGGTAAGTGATCAGAGTCTATTTTTAGTGTCTTGGAAGCGTTGGGGGGTTTTTCTCTCTATCCTTTTCATTTCATTTCTTTTCTTTTGTTTCTTTTTTTTTCTTTTCTTTCTCCACTTCTTTCCACAACTGAATATCTGCATTTGGGGTATCAAGAACAGGCATGTTTGGAGGGAATGTTTACCACAGCCAGCAGCTTAAATTCATTTTATGCCTCACTTCTAGAAGAAAGGGCACCAAAAAGAGAGATTGGAGTTGGTACGACTATCAAGCTGCTCTCAGAAAGTCTCCCAGAGCCCAGATTCAGCATCATTTGGGTGTTTTTTGGGTGATTCCTTGTGATTTTGGCAAATCCCAGCAGCTGCATGCAGGGCTGTTAGCAGAGTTTCAGGTCCCTGAGCTCAGCAGAGAGGGTGGGGGRGACTGGGATACAGTCGAGGGTACAAACTGATGTTTCTCCAGGTAATCCTCACCTCCCACTCCCCCTCCAAGGTTAATCTGGCAACTCAGTCGTGTTTTGCAATGTCTTTGGTGCATTGGTTTCATTGCATTTTTCATAGAAAAAAACAGAAATTGGAAAACCATCTCGGAAACAAGAAAAGGAAGAAAAAGTCTTACCATTTGGGGAAGAGGGAATGCTTTTCTTTCTGGTTTAAATGCATTTTTCCACATTTTGCCTTTTTTTCCCTTATTTCACTTCACTGCAAACAAGAGAGTTTGAAGGGTTCTTTCTTTCTTTCTTTCATTATCTTTCTTTCTTTCTTTCTTTCTTTCTTTCTTTCTTTCTTTCTTTCTTTCTTTCTTTCTTTCTTTCTTTCTTTCTTTCTTTTCTTTCTTTTTCTTTCTTTCTTTAATTTTCTTTCTTTCTTTCTTTTTTTTCTTTTCTTGGAGACGTTTGGTCTGGTACATTGCTTTATAAACTGAAACCCTTCCACAAAAAGGGTCACAGGCTGGGTGAGGGTCTCATCCTCTGGCCCTCCACAAACACAGCAGCTCCCTCAGACTTTGGGGAGGGCTTTTACAAGAAATGGTTAAAAGTTTTTCTCTTGCTGGCTTTGCCACAGATTCATTGTGTACCTTTAGGGCAAGTTATTTATTGTCTTTGCACCTTCTCTTACATAAAATGCCCGTAGCAGAGAACAGAAAATAATAAATGCTGGGGCGTTTTCCACCTCAGACTGTATTGCAAAATACCACTTTGCTCCAGGAGCACGAATGCCTTCTCTGCTCCCTAACCCAGAGATGGCAGATAAATGATGCAATATCAAACACTGCCTTTCCAAATGAAAAAGCCAACCTCTGGATGAGGGTCCTTCAGGATGAATGTTTTTCTTCTTCTGTTATATTCCCCAGGAGGTTTTTTTTCCTATTAGAGATGGCTATAAAGCATTTGCTTTGTGTAACAGGGTGCAGACTGCACCCCAAATCAGKGGGTGAGTTCATTCAGTTCAGTTTGTAAAGCAGGGAAGGCACTGTCCATCCCTGATGGACATCCCTGGTGGTGTGGGGTGTTTTGGAGGGATGTTGGCAGCCCTTGGGACCACCAGCCCTTGRGGATGCTCAGGGCCACTCACAGTGAGCACTCACACAGCAAGATGCAGCTCAAAAGGATGGAGCAAAACAACAATGAGGAATGGAATAAAACACTCCCTCTGWGCTGCTCTGAGAGCACCAGATCCAGAAAATCAGCTGCGGGTGAGGGCAGGGACACCATCCCCTGCCATGAGAAGGACCTTCAGGAAGGTTTGGTGAGATGAACAGGATCAGCTGATCCTTAAAAGTGAGGGAAAAGCCTCTCCTGCCTTGTTCTTTTTGGGCCGAGTGTTTTGGCCACAGCAATCCCCCACCCTGCAGAGCTGAGAGCCATTGTAATAGCAACAATTCTTTATTCACAAGCTGGAGCAAAAAGGGAATCTGCAAGCGGGGGGAGAGAAGGGGGGTGGGGGACAAAACACAACTGATCTTGTAAAAGAGACCCTTAAAAATACCATACATGAAGGCTCTTGCACAAGCTTTTTATTTATCAGTCTGCAGTCAGAAGAGCAGAATGCAATAAGTGMATGGCACACAGGGAACTGGGGGTAGGAAGGTCTCTTCTAATAAAACAGAGTGGACCTGAACAAAGAAAAAGGTTCTGCTAAACTGATGGTGGCAGATGGCATCAGCCCCACCATGTTCCCTTTCAATTGCGGGAAAATATAGTAAAGCAATTTAATGAAAACGCTTAAATAAGCAAACAGTGCAGTTAATTGAACCCATATGCATTAGGAAGGAAATCTAAAGTATACTGATTCATTAAGTTTTATATAACTGTAAACCCCCAGAACCTAAGACAGAGTAAGAAGCCATGATGAAGTGCCAACTAGAAGGGGACCTTCTACCCAGCTTCACTTCGATCTGCTTTGTTATGACAAGAACAAGTGGTTTTAACAAGTACACCATAAATCAGGAGCGTGCACTAAAGCCTGGAGTCTTCCAGGTACCAAACTCTGCTGCAAACTCACATTCCTTTTCCTCTGGTAGACTTTTTTATTTTCCAAGACAGAAATAACTGGAACTTGGATGCTGCCATCTGTAAAGGAAATAAACGGGGAAGAGTTGGTCCTTGAGGTCTTTACTAATTAMTTGTTTTAATTCAAGAAAAGTTGGTGTTGGATCTGGATGACGCTCCCTGTGACACTTTTAACTGTGGGCCACATGTCCATACACCTGGCTTTGACAGGTAAAACAAACTCTTTTCTTTGGCAGTGAGCATGGCTCCCCAGCTGTGACTTTTGGACAGAGGTAACACAGACAGAAAGCTGGGACTGGAAAGGCAAGTGCTACACCCACACTGAAAACCACCCATAAATAAAATCCTGAGGAGAAAGTCGCTCTGGCACCATTGAAGTAGGTTCAAAAGTTCCCTTTGGTTACAAGAAGGGCAGAACTTCAGATCAGGAGATCAGGAAACCTTTGGGGATTCTTGTTCAGGATTTGCCTGGTGTGATTTGGAACTGGAGGTATCARCTGATTGCTGCTTTCACTGAGCTCTCCCCGGCTCATGAAACAAGATCCCTCCAGTTTTCAGAGAAATCTGGTTTACTGCAAATAAAAGCYAGCAAGTGATGATGAATTGATCCCAAGGCACACCTGAGAGCTGGGGTTTGGGTTTTTCAGTGATGCTGATTCAAAGTGTCACTGAAGTGAGCAGAATAAATCTTCATCCTCAGCAATTTGGKTTTGAAATGAAGGTGACCTACAGCCAAGAGAAGGGTCTCAAGGTAATTGGAGAGGCATCTCAGAGCATCCAGGCTGGTTCAGGAGGTCAGCAGCAACCTGTGAAGGCACTGAGGCCTTTGCCATGTATATTCACCTGCTATGTACAAGTCAGCAGATATGGACTGTAACAGGAGAAAAAACTACAAAGGCAAAAAGTGACAAAAATTAAGTTTTTATTCATAAAGGTTGACCAGGGAAGCTAAATCATTGCACAGTGCAGTTCTTGCGGCTCAGGACCTAAAAAAGAACCCCATCCACTTGAAAATAAGCACAAAGAAAGCAGACATCTTTAATGAGCATGCAGAACATTATGGAAAAATATATTGATTTTTTTTAAACCAATAAAAATAAAGACACAATACACTTCTAGATGTGGTCTTACAAATCTGATGTGTTTTTTGTCTCTACAGGTGATGCTGCAGGGGTCCCAAGGGATGGGGAGTGATGGGGGCATGGAGRTGCATGGGGTGACCTGACCCTGCCACCCAGAGCACTTTGGCCACGCTGTGAAATAGATGCAGCCCCTGTCTGAAGGGAAAAGTTCTGCTGGTAGGTGACTACTGCAGCCCCTGTTTGAATTTCCTGGATGTCAGGCACAGTTAATGTCAGGGAGACAGAGGGAGAGCTGAATTGCTGGCCCCAATTCAACAAGGCACTTAAGCACAAGCTTAACTGTAAGTACGTACTTAAGTCCCTCCTTATATAGCAGAACATATGTTAACACCTCGCTGAAGCCCGGGCTAAGTGCRTGCTCAAAGTTAAGCGTCTGCTTAAGAGCTTTGTTGAATCAGGGCTGTTGTTTACTTCCAACAATTGATGTCTCCTGGAGTATCCACAGTTCTGCTTGCAAACCTCACGCATCTGTTTTCTCTTAAGATTATTAATAGAGTCATTCTTTAAAAAACACACGGCGATGCAATCCTTGACAATCTGCAATTGCTGTCTTCAGGAGAGTGAGGGACATCAAGGCAGAAGATTTCCACAGAGATCCCTCATGCTCTCCAATTTTCCATTTTATTCTAGGGAGTTGAAGGGAAAGTAGCAGTGTTACAAAACAATGTGGAGTCACCAACAATAGAAATTAACTGAATTTAACTTGATTAGCAAAAAAAAAAAAAAAAAAAAAAAAAAAAAAAGGTTTCCTGTTTTAAGAACTGTAGAGATGGCTGGAGTATAAACTTGTGAATGACAAACTGCTGATGTAAATGTGTGTCAGGTTGGTGTGTATATATATATATATATGTAAATTATATAAATATAAAATTGATGCTATAAATTGAACAGCTGTGCCAGGAAGTCTTGTGCTATCAGAACATGCCTTAACTCAGCCATCAGGTAGCAGAAGGGACATCCTGGGAAAATAAAGGCAATTCACAATTTGTGTTGTTTACAGYGGTTCCCATTCCCAAGGTGATGAGCCCCCAAAGAAATAATGCTGCTTGTTAAAATTGACTGTGATGAGTCTGAGAAAACACTGCTGGGATGCTCTCAGGAATGCCAGGACAGGTAAGGCACAGAGCACTCTACTCACCTTTTTTTAAAATTTATTTCCTTTTGCCTGCTTGTTGGGTATCCCTCCTGCACCCTGCTGCCATTTGGGAACCGGGCTGCTCTCTCTTGTTCCAGGCAGGTGTCGACATCTCCGTGGAGGTCCCAGGGCAGATTTGGGGACCCACTGAGGCGCCACAGTGTCCCCAGAGAGGCGGGTGGCCGTCCCAGCTGCATTTCAGTGCCCAGGGCTCGGGGCTGTCACCAGCCTTCCCGGCCCTGCCGGGCGGTTTCTCAGCAATGCTGGAGACTCAGACCACAATAGAAGGAAATCACTAAAGCTGAATTGCTCCAAGTAAGTCCTCAGCAGGGTTTGACTGGTAAATATTTAACAAGGAGAACTCCCTATCCTCTCCTGGTACGTATTAAACTAATACATTTATTTTAACAAGGGAAACGGTTTCCCCAAGCTCCCGCTCAATTTGAGCCCTTGACTTCTACAAAAACCTCAGTAAGGTTGGCTTCCTGGGGCTCAGTAATTCASTGGGACTAAACGAGAGATGGCTCTGAGCCATGAGCTTGGAGTCTGGAGGCGACAGGACCTCCCCAAGGTTGGGGAGAGCTCAGTCCTGGGGTTTCCATTCCCACCTGCCTTCAGACAGGTCCAACGCYCACCTCAGGACATCCCTGCCACCACCAGATTGTGACCACCTCAGCCATGCTGTGGAGACAGGTTGACCATCTCCCACCACGGTTTCCATGTGTTCTCATGCCAAGTCCTCCCCACAGAAGCTTCACAAATCCCCGGCTCCACCAGCGCCCATCCCACCATTCCTCAACCCCCAATCCTTTCTGCTGCCTCTCCCCACGCCCAGACGGAGCCAGGGGTCATGGGCAAGGACATGGTGTTCAATCCTTGTCCCCAGGCTGGTGATGCTGGGGGTTTATTCCCCCTTGGTTCCACTCTTTCCTCCTCCATGGACCACAGGGGGACTGGCAACACCCTGAGAGCAAAAAGATTCCCTGCCAGTGATCCCCGAGATGCCCAAAGCCCTGCTCAGCAAGCACTGCTGAGCCATTCCTGCCTTCTGACCTGAACAGGACACACACAAATTCCTATTTTCTGGCCTGAAAAGGACACASTCCCAAATGCAGCCCCACACACAGGGGCTTGATCCCCCACAAGACCTTCCTACAGGAGCTGGGGCTCTGTCCCACTCTGGGCTGTGTCCCTTTGTGTTCTGAGCAGGAGAGTGATCACCCAGTCAATGCYTCCTCTGCAAAACATGCCCTGAACAGCTCACGGGACACGTCACTGGTGCCAGAGCTCACCCCAAACAGCGTGGGTGTTTTCCCTGCCATGGCATTGCTGCTGCTGGGGGCCCAGAAATTGTCCCATCCCCTGCAGGGTTCTGCTGCTGTTTCCTGCCACCCCAGCTGGCCTTGTGGCTGCAGGCAGGCTCAGAGGCTGCTGGACTCTGTCTCCCTCCCTTTTCAGACTTTCCCTCAAGGAAATAAGAACCTCTGAAAGCAATCCCAGCTTTGCATCTTTGCTCCGAGCCATCCCATGACTCCAGCACTTCCACTCTGACTCAYGGGTAGAGGGCAGGTTTGAACAACTGTGGCTGCTCCTGCCAAGGCAATTATGACTCCTGGCATCACAGCCCAAAAGCCTCTGGGAAACTTTCCCTGCTCGGCTTACCCTGGTTGCAGTGTGTGAGATGGTGTGCGACATTCCCAGGAGAGATTGAGGGGGGAAAAGGACAATGTGAGACCTTGGTACTTTGGGAAGAGCTCCCTGGTTCCAAAAACCATCCTCTGCGTGCTTTGGCATCTCTCCCTGAGCTCCAAGGGTTGGTAGTGCTGGGAGATCCTTTCAGGTGCTGCCGTGAGCACTGTGATCAGACACGTTTACCCTTCATCACCACTAAAACCTAACCTGTGAAATGTGTCTCCAAGTATCCCTTCCCCAGGTATTCCAGTCTGCCTTCAGTTCTCCCCAATATTTAATAAACACCCCTCTTGGAATGGGCTGAGGGGAGACAGAGAATGTTTACAATGTTTATCTCACCCTCAAAACAAACAGCAAGTCCATCCCTGATCCTATCCCCACCTGTCCCAGCCCACAGCAGGCAGCGAGGTCTCCCCTGCTGCCAGCAATATCAGTAGGAAAATCCTTTCCACTCTGCTTTTCTGGGACTGTGATTCCAGCAAGCCTTACAGCAGCTTGGCAGTACAGTAAATAAGAAACAGATTTCCAAATGTTTTGATTTACTCTCTTTTTCTTTGTAGCATCTAAGCCCAGGGGCTGAGGACCTGATTCCAGAAAGTCTCTGTCCAGATCACCAACCTGCACCCATGGGCAGTGATCCCATRGGGAGGCAGGAGCTGGCATGGGCTCAGCCTGCCAGGGCAGTGTCCTGGAGGAGAGAGTGAATGCAGAGCAGCAGCTCATCAGAAATCCAACAGAAATCCACACATGTCTGTTCAAAAGTGCCCGGTTCCAGCACAAAACGGAAAATTGGACAGAAAAGAAGCCTCTGGAGCACATCCCATGCCGGGGGTGGTAAGCCATGAAACATTCACTGCAGTTGCTTCTGTGCTGGGCTGGGATGCTGTGCTGCTCCTCTCGCCATTGTCCCCAGCTGCATTTTCCCCCGTGCTCTCTAACACCCCAGAGCATTAATGACAGGTCTCRAAGCTCTGGGACTGATCCTCTCCCCACATCAGCACCAGGCCAGGATAATTCCATCAGCAGGAACAAGCTCTGGTGCATGGGTGTGCAAGAGAAGCATGAACTGAAGGATTCATGTAAAGGTCCTTATTATAACAGAAAACCCATTTTCAGGACCTTTCTTAATCCTCTTCTAACTGAACTGTCCACTTGTTGAACTCAGGGAAGTCCTCAGTGAGTGCAAACCCTCCCCTACAATATTCCTTGGGATGGTTCTGGGATCCAAGACTTGTATATATCTCAGCATGAGTGTCATATCAAACACAGCATCCATCTGAGGATCACCTCTTGTGCAGGGTAAGGCTGGACTCCACTCAGTAGCACAATTTTGGAAGAAACTTTGAGCTCTTCCTCCATAAAARTCCCTGTGGGATGGGGTTATCTTGCAGAATATAGGCTGTTTTCCCTGTCTGATTCACCCAGGTGRTGACTAAACTCACAAAGCATTCCTCAGCCCATGTGTTATTCACAGACCTTTCAATCAACAGACATTTCTCCCAGCACAGGGAAAAAAAACATATTGCAACCTAAGGATTGCAAAGGCAAATCTCTTCTCCATCCATGTCTCACTGTCATGCCACTGCAYTGCTCAGTGTCTGCAGCCTTGGAGAAATCAGTCACAACACCTGAAAAAGGCCTCTGAAGAAGACCAGTCTCTGGTCTGCATATAAAACCTTTCAACTTTGTTCTCATAAATTAATTTTTCTCTTTTGAATACCATGTTTCACACGTTGCAGATTTGGTTTTAGAATAAATCAGAGTYGGTTAATGGGCTCAGATTAGTCCTGCCCTGGTTTCAGCCAAAGCCAAAGTGGCAGCAGTGAGAGATCCAGCCTCCAACASCAGCATGCCTTTGAGCAGAGTCCTCTGTCTGCTGTGCAAGGCTGACTTGCAAATTAGGCAGATAGAGCATGTGCTTATGGATTTCGTAATGTTGGCACTAAGATACCACGGTGCAGGGTAATCCCAGGGATCATGGAGGGAATATTTTGAGGGAAGAGCTTCAAAGCAGCATCTAAATTGTGCAGGAGCTGATGCTGGCAGGGATTTAGCTCCCAACCATCATTTTCTCTACTATTTTCTCAGTTACTACAGCCCTTGTTTCAATCCCAGGTGTCAGAGCAATGTGGATCAGAGGCAGTGAGTGCCATGGCTAGAGGGGACAGTCCCTGCTCCCCATGGATGTATGGGCTGTACACACCGGGAAGGAGGACGTGGGATTTGTCACCATCCAAATCAGGCTCACAGTCACTTCTCATGCTGTTACCCCTTGTGCAGGTACTTACAGACCTGTTAKAGCCCCACAGCAGCATCACAGCTCTGTGTGGAGGGGCTGCAGGGTGGTGGGCTCAGGCTGGAACGCAAAAACAGAGCAGGCAGCTTCCAAGAGCAGCCCAGTAGTGTCCAAAATCCCACCACGGACACACACACAGTGTCCAGTCACAGCAGAGCTCTGGTGGGCAGTGGTTTATGCCAAACAGACCAAGTCCTGTTGGGTTATGAGACAAAATCGACATCAGCCTGGTGAGTGGCTTGGGAAGTAATTAAGAGCAGTTTTATAGGTGCCAGATCCTGCAGAGACATAGCCCAGTAAAACCGTGTGTGAATCTTCTGAGGGAGGGATGTGAGGATGGAACACACGGGCCACAGGTGTGACAGCACCTGCCCATCCCATCCTGTGAGACCTGCAGAGCTCAGGGCACTTCATGTAGGACCCCATCACCCTGCACGTTCAGGAATGGCTCCACCTGCTCTGATTCACACAAGGTATTAACCAAAAATAAAGGCCATGCTCCCAAAAAGCTGGCCCTAAAGCTTTATGAAATGAAGCTTTGAGAGCACAGGGAAGGAGCGCTGCTCCCAGGGTGGGAATGCCCTGCTTCCCTGTGACCTGGTCACCAAACACCTCCAGGCTGGGCATCCAGAAATGGAGGTGACCAGGACAAGCCAGGTGTTTCCCCAGGTCCAGGCTGTGGATTTTTGCAGTTCAGCCTCAGCAGAACGGGCAGGAGGTTGATTCCAAGATGGGAATGGGAACACAACCATGGGACACACCAAACCATTGGGTCCTCCCTTCCCAGATCCCACAGCCAGCGCTTGGCTGACCCAGCACCAGGGCCTTGGGAGCCAGCTCATGTTCCCAGACCAAGGCAACATTTCTATCACGCCAGTTTAAACCATTAATAATTGYCTGCACAAACCCTCCCAAGCTTCTAACGTTATGTAAACAGAAGTGAATTAAAATTATTTTTTTCCATCACTGTTTGAAATGTGYGATGCTTTTTCTAAACGGCCCCAGGAGCAAAAGAGAGAGGGGGGTCTGAAGCAGTTSCCTGGCCTCCAGCCAGGACCCAGCAAGTACTTTATATCTCACTTCAAGACAGTCAGAGCAAGGGTTTAAGAGGCTTTGAAGACAAACAGCGTTAGGTTAGTTAAGTCCTGCTTTGACCAGTGGCGAGCAATGGAGACATAAACAGATTTCATTTGAACCGGGCTTAATGTAGCTGGGTTTACAGAGTCCCAGCTGATTTCCACATACATCAGGAGTGGTGTATATCCAGGGTGGCAGCGTGGTCCCACGGGGAGGGCAGCAATCCRTGTGGGTGCCCCGGCGCCGGCGCTGACCCCCCGTGCCCCTCTCGGCGATCTCCACCACTCCTTTATCTGCAAAATGGAAAGAGTTGACCTRCTTCACAGAGCAAGCCTGGAATCAATTAATGTCTAGCCTGCATTTAGGAGAGGCAAAACACTATATAAACATTATGTATCATTTAGCTTCTGAGGAAAAGCCATWGCCTGACAAAAGGGGCCTCTCCTTTCTGCTTTATGAAGCCCGGTTCACACTGGTGCAGCCCTCCTTGACTTGTTTGGCCTGGTCCTAATTTTCACCAGTCCAGATTGCAGGMGACTTCAACTCACAAAGTACATTAATTTCCCTCATTAATAAGTGGGGATTTCCTTGCTGAGGAACCCCCATTTCACATTTCTCCTCAGTGAGTCTCCCCAGGGCAGAGCTGAGGTCCAGCATCACCCTGTGTGTTGGGCACCAGGAGCAYTGCAGGCACCTCCCAAGACCAAAGATATTGTTCAGAGGCTGCTTCTCACTGCCCTGCTGGCCAAAGGGGCTGAGCAGCATCCCAAAACACCWTTYCTCTGGGCAACCTGTGCCAGTGCCTCCCCACCTGCACAGGGAAGGATTTCCTGCTAATGTCCAATCTAAACCTACCCTRAAACTTAAAGCCATTCCTTCTTGTCCTGTCACTTCATGCCCTTGTAAGAAGTCCTYCTCCAGCTCTCCTGG